GGGATCTATTAATAACTTAATAAAAGTAGTAAATTTTAATTAATTATTACTCACTTATAGTCAACATAAATATTTTTTCAATGTTTTTTTTTTTTTTTGGAAAAAAAATAAAGGCTAGCAGCATAAGAGAACCATTTCTAAATAATTATACCTACTTTTCCAAAAGGAAATTTATAAATGGCTGAAATTTATTTACCAAACGGTAACATCTGATGTCTTCTCCCATAAGCTCACTACTGTCTAACGGCTAGTAAAAAAAAAGCCTTTAAACAGATCTCAACCGTCCGATCATTTCCCATCTAACGCTCCTGATTCAAAAACGCAAAAGAATATGACCGTTAAAGTCAAAAGCGCTCCTTTTCGCCCAATATAAAAACCCTAATAGTATCACCAAAATTCTCTCTTTTACTCACAAATATCTGAAGAAAAACTCAAAAAGAAAGAAATTTTGAAGAAGAAGAAGAAGAGAAATAGTGGCGACTCAAGATAGTGAAAGTGGAGGAGGAGGAGAGGCGGGTAACGGTCGTCTCCAATCGTTTATTTCATCGATATTTGCGAGTATAGGTGGTGTTTTTGGTCAGTATAATAATTCAGACGAAGAAGAAAATCTTCAAATGGATAATAAAACTGCTGTTGTTGCTCCTAACAATTTACCCAGAGGTAAGAATCAAATTTCTGGTTTTATTAATTTCTCTGCTTTTTTTTACTGAATTTCAATTAATATATCCTTTTGTGTATTATTAGTTTCTACTGAATCTCATTTGGGGGCTTTTTCCTTATCTGACAGGAATTAAAAATCGATTTTTTTGTGTGTGTGCTTATAATATTTTCTTGATATATTTAGTATTGCTACATTCTTTTCCTATTTTTTGCTGAATTTTAATTGATGTTCATTTGGTGATTATTCTTTTCTGACCCAGAAAAAAGGATCTTTTAAAGTGTGCGTTAGTTTCAACTGAATCTCTGCTGAATTTGTCTTGTTTTCAGACATTCAAGATTCTTTCTATTTTGTGCTTATAGTGGTTTTTTTTTTTTAATTATTTAAAATTGTTACATTCTTTTTTTGTTCTTCCAATTTTTGACTGAATTTCAATTGAATCTTATTTGGATATTTCCTTTTTTTAGACAGAAAAAAAAACTACTACTGTAATTGTTTTGTGTGTTTGTGCTTATAGTGGGTTTCTTGAAATACTGTGTATTGTTATATAATTTGTTTTAATTAAGTGTCAACTGAATCTCTATTTTTTTGGGGTTCTGATGTAAGTTATGCTGCTGATTCATTCTTGTCTTCAGACATTCAAGAATCTTTTGTTGTGTGTGCTTATAGTGGGTTTGGACTCACTTAGTTTAGGATTGAACTGTTCATTGATTGATTAAATTGGTTGCTTGGGTAGTGGTTGATTAATTTAAATCTTGAAATTCCTGATTCATTATCCTTTGTCTCATGAGAATTATGTTATATCTGTAGGAGAAATGGGAGGAAAACAGAAAAATGGACAGGCCGATGGAAGAAATAGGCGTGCTCTCGGAGACATTGGCAACCTTGTGCCTGCTCCTGCTGCAGAAGGAAAGCCTAAAGCAGCTCAGATTTCTCGCCCTGTGACTAGGTAAATGCTCTCAAAAAAAAATTGGAATTCCATTATCTTTAGGACTGCGGCATAGTAGTAGTAGTAGCAGTTATTTCGTATTGGCTTTGGTCTCATCTCATATATCTGTCTGTCTTTAACTCCTATAGAACATTCTTTCTTTTTCAGGAGCTTTTGTGCACAGTTGCTAGCTAATGCACAAGCAGAGAAGAACAAGGTGGAAATTTGCCTAAACAATTATAGTTGTAAATGGTTTTATGAAACTTTTCAAGGTCCTTGAAAATGGTGGATATAAGTTGTTTTCTGTTTTCTTTTTTCTGTAGAAATCACTAGCAGAAGTTGTCAATAAAGATGTACCAGCCAAGAAGAAGGCATCAGATAAGGAAATAAAGACTGTTGAGGGAAGTCCATTGAGCAAAAGAAAAGCAAAGAAGAGCGGAAAGACTCTCACTTCTACCCTCACTGCTAGAAGCAAGGTTATACACATTTACATTTTCTCTGTTTAGATCAATAGTACTTAGTAGTAATATCAACATTTTGATAAAATTGTGTTCTTTCTCAGGCTGCTTGTGGACTTTCCAATAGACCAAAGTATGAGATTGAGGACATCGATGTCGCGGATGCTGATAATCATTTGGCTGCTGTAGAGTATGTTGAGGATATCTACAACTTCTACAAGCTCACTGAGGTATATTTGTGAATCTCATTCTCTTGTTCTATTTCTGTTTAGAATCTCATTTCTCTGTGATTGTCTGATCCAGGGTGAAAGTCGAGTGGATGATTACATGAACTTTCAGCCAGACCTGAATCACAAGATGAGAGCCATTTTAGTGGACTGGTTAATAGAAGTTCACAGGAAATTTGAGCTTATGCCTGAGAGCCTTTACCTTACAATTAACATACTGGACCGATTCCTCTCGCTGAAGACGGTTCCAAGGAAGGAACTTCAGTTAGTAGGCATTAGCTCAATGCTAATTGCTTGCAAGTATGAAGAGATTTGGGCACCAGAGGTAGTATATTATGCACATTTCAGTATACTATAGTAATTTGTTGGGTGTAGATTGAAACTTAGATATGTTCTTGATCTCTGCAGGTGAATGATTTCATTCATATATCAGACAATGCATATGCCAGAGAGCAAATACTTCAGGTGGAGAAAGCTATTCTTGGGAAATTGGAATGGTATTTGACAGTTCCAACACCATATGTTTTTCTGGTTAGGTACATTAAAGCTGCAACACCATCTGATAATCAGGAGGTACTATACTAATCTTTCTGGTTCCATCTTTCGACATGAATTCTTGTTTAGGAACCTTATTGGGCCCTGCATAGCCAACAAATGTATATGTTTCGTATATCAAGTATAATACATACATGAATATACACTATTATATACGTATATAGATAATGGTGCATATGTTTGGACATGAATTCTTGTTTTATCTCAACTTGGCTAAATAATATTTCTTCTGTTGCTTGTTGTAGATGGAGAACATGACTTTCTTTTTTGCTGAACTTGGTCTTATGAACTACAAGACCACAATATCATACTGCCCATCAATGCTAGCAGCATCGTCCGTTTATGCTGCTCGTAGCACTCTCAACAAAACTCCATTATGGACTCAAACTCTGCAGCACCATACTGGCTACTCAGAAGATCAGTTGATGTAATATTCCTCAAGAACGAACTCATTTCAGTTTAAGTATCTTAATTAGGTTGATATTAAGTTTCTATAGTCTCATGAGTTTAACTTTTTTGTGTAACAGGGAATGTGCAAAGCAATTGGTTAGCTATCACTTGGGTGCTGCAGAAAGTAAGCTCAAGGCAATTTATAGGAAGTTTTCGAGTCCAGATAGAGGTGCTGTCGCCTTCTTCCCGCCAGCAAGAAATCTCCTACCTACTACTGATGCTGCTTCCTCTTCTTGATGAATGTTATTTTTAAGTTTGGTGGAAAGGTTTTGGGATCATGTTACTGTTGTGATCTCACTAGCTTTAGACTAAGTGGTGTGTGATACTATTATTTGACTTTTGAAGTGTGAATTTTTTGGAGAAAAGCTATGGTTGATTATGATTTTACCTACTAGTGAAGTCATGTAAATCCAGAATATATTGTTTTTTGTGAATATAACTAGTTCATTCATTTTTTTTAAATGTGTCATTACTCTGTTTATTTAGTTTGTTGTTATTATTTTTTTATTTCTTTTTTTCGTTGAATGAGAGAGACATGGTTGTTGACATCACAATGGTCTCTGCATGCATAGAGCTCGCTTTTGACATATGAAAAGTTAAGATATGAAAATTTAGGTTGCTACATGGCAGTTTAGGTGGCACACTTTTGACAACACTAATACGGATCTGATCAAAACAATTTTGGGTACTTTGACCACGACAGATAGAAAAATTCGAGACGAAATACAATTTGATTTCCGAAATCATAACCAAAACTAGGGTAAATTTGAAGAAAATAACATAAAAAGGAAATTCACACATCAAGCTATTTTTATATTTTTTATATTTTTAGAGATACTTTTATATTTTTATTTTTTGACTTAGTTTTAGTCGGATCCCCGCACCCGTATCCGTACTAGGATCCGTATCCCTACTTTTATTTTCAAGATTCGCACCTGTGTCGGACACTCACACTCGTATCCGAGCAACTTTGAAATCTCTTGAAACTACATTCCCCAAAATCCAATGTCTAAGAGCATTTTTAACAAATAACCATCCTACATGGAACAGTTTGGCTGTCATGTCTGAGCTCACTCAAACTATCTCAACATCTCATCAAATCCATCAACTTGAGAGCCAAGAACAGAAATTTATCAATTCCACTAATTCAAATTTTATCTACACCATCTGATGGTTACCTCGCGGGCACGTTCTGCTTTGGGACAGCCTGGTCTAAATAACTATAGAGTTAGCTTTCACTGAACTGGTCACTTGGGTTGCTTTGTTTGACTGTTTTAACAACAACAACAACAACAAAAAACCCAGTTTGATCCCAACAAGTGGGGTCTGGGGAGGGTAGTCTGTACGCAGACCCTACCCCTACCTAATGCAGGTAGAGAGGCTGTTTCCAATAGACCCTCGAAGCATAATTCAAGTGAAAAACAATGCCACATTCATAAGGACAGACACTGGATCTTTTGACAATGAACAGGTTTATTCCCACATGGAAGGATAATATCTCAAACAAAACTCAATTTAGTAAATGTTAAAGAGATATTATTGGCAGTTCAAAGAGAGAGATCACAACAAGGAACATTTGAGTCTATTACTCTTTGGTATATATTCCTGAAGTGGGAAGTAAGCTTTGCCAAGTATATACAAAATACTTCAGTAACCTATAACAACATAACTCATCGGAAAATTCACAGGAATATTTCGTTAAGTCACATTTTAGTGGGAACATGAACAACCATGTTCTTGGACACCACTTGAAGCCAACTTGTAACTGCGTTCCCAAGTATCTGTTGGAGCAGCTTGCGCATGAGGAACATGACGAGGATGTTTCTCTCTCTTGTCACCCCTTACCTGTTTCAGCGCATGCTTAAGGGCGGGGAGCAAAGCTTCCATGCACTCGGCAACCGCGTTTGGATTTCCTGGCATATTGATGATCTGAAAACATTGTGAAACATACAGAAGGCAAAATTCTTCAGGTTCAGAATTTGACATAAATTATAAGAGGGTCAAATAACATGGCACAGTAGCCAGAAGAGCACAAGATCTCCAAAATGATGAAATTGAAGGAAGAATTAACCCAAATAGCCGTCCACCAAATCGCTTAAACTAATTCATGTATATGACTGTGTATAATCAATATATACTCGCTAAAAAAAGTAAACCGTGAATTTGACCGACTATTTGTGTAAAATCCCAAATTGAATAGGGTCGAAGTTGAATAGGGTCGATCACTTCGATTTTGTACATTTTGATCCTTTCAACTTAATGCAGGCTGCACTTGGCTATAAGAAAGAAAAGAGTGGCTGTACTTCACAGATTGAACAGCTTCCCTATTTCTAATAGAGAAAAAGAGAGTTTCCGAATGCCTAACTAAATCTGAATCCTCTACTTGGCTATTCAGTAGCTAGGTCTACTTATGACTGCCACTGGTTCGGATAAGTCGAGTGATTAAGAAAAGGAGACAAAATTGGGAAAGAAAAAGCAGGAATACAATGTCGATTACTAGAAAGAAAACAACAGCAACTATGGATCACATATAAAGAAATCCATCAAAACTCAACACTCACTTTAAGTATTCCCTTTCTTGTAAAGTTTGAAACATGTGTAAATCTTAGGAGATTAACCATTGCAGCAGAAGTAGCTATTTTCTGGAAATTTTGCTAATTCCATGAGCAATCAATTGTCAACTGCCAGATAATTAGCTACCTTCTGCAGTTAACTATGTGATTCGGAGGAATTTTAGACGACAAAACAAACAAGTCACTAGGGGCAAGGATTGGATATAAAATTACATCGAAGATCTTCATGATTCTTTTTCCCATTAATTTCAACTATGGAAGTGTAATAGAAGTGTGATGCCTGTTGCCGGAGGCAAAACATCGTATACCTAAAACACAAATGTAGAGGAAAACCTACGGACAAACAAACAATAGAAATAATCATTGGATTAGGGAGAGAAAATGCATAATTGATGGCAATACCAACCATAGTTCTAAAACTCAATTCTCGGACTTGCTTAAGGAGTTTATTATTCAATAAAATGAAAGACCAACCACAGTTTTAAAACTCAACACTCAGATTCGACTTGCTAAGGAAAGGAGTTCAGTAAAATGGAAGACTAAGAATGCAAATACAGAACCACAAATGCCTTATCTTTGTGTTACTCAAGGAAACAACTTTAGGCTAAGCTTATCAACCATATGAGGGAACTTTGGGCTAACTTGTGTTGGTGTGTTTTGTGGTTCGTGCTAATAAAGATACGATTGGACTTGTGCTCTTACCAGTGTTGATCCTCTTATTCCAGCTGCTGCACGTGAGAGCATTGCAGAAGGCGTTACCTGTGTGAAGTCAGATGCATCATGAAATTAGAAGAAATTCAAATATTTTTCTAGGTCAGGGAAAAAATTTATAGCTGCCTTGCGTAAGCATGCGAAATGTTGAACCATCGGAGAAGGGTTAACAGAGATATATAGTAATCCTGAGGAAGATTAAATATCTGATGTTATCTAAGGAAGGTCACGTCATTAGTTGTTTGATAATACACATCCCTCATTGCTTTAATACAAGAAGGCCACCAGAATGGCAGACAGAAAATTCACTTGCTTAACTTGAATTCTCTACGTTCATTTTTATACTTAAGGAAAAGAGTCAACTTCAAAGGTTGAGATACTTTTCGTGGTGGGTGGGGTGCAGTTTGGGATACAGCTCTTTTTGGTCTAGAACAGAGTCAGCTTCAAAGCTTGCTCCTTCTCCCTTTTATTTCATTTATATACTTTTTTGGATAACAGTTGTGTCTGGACCAGCTTACAGACACCTCGACTATCCACCGGATAACTCTGTCTATCAAAGTTAGGCAGACGGAAAAAATTCAACTAAGTACTTGGTCTGTTGTTGTCTCCCTACAACGTCATAGAATGTCTTCTTATCCTAATCTTTTACCTGTAAAGTACATTATCTTCTTTTCAGAAGTGGTAACAAACGACAATGACCTTGTGACATGAGCATGTGGTTGTGCACCTAGTTCTATCATTTCATTGTTTTTCAATGCCCCCATAGTTTCGGCAATGAACTAGGTGAAGGTTATACAGACAAGGGTGTATAAACTATCTGCCAAATTTTACCACATTTAATACATATGCAATTGAATAAAATGCCCATGGAATAACAGTGATATGAGAACTTTGATACCTTCAGACTTTCTCGCATCATAACATAGAGAAGACCAGGTGTTTCTTTCTGTATCATACTTTTGGTAGCTTCAGGGGTAACATCCCTTGGCGTACAGCCGGTCCCACCTGACTCATCCAGTAAGAGTAATTAATAAAAATATTATCAGCTCGGCAAAGAAATGGGACCATGACCATAATAACTTAGGAACATACCAGGTAAGATAAGATCCACTTTGTCAACATCACTCCACTTCTGCAACATGTCTTTTATCTTTTGCTCATCATCTGGCACAACAGCTGTTGCAACTATACTTGTCCCTCCAAGCCTTTCTGACGATGAATTGACGACAGAAACTGCCCTTGGACCACTGCGAGATCATATAGCATAAAGATACTCAAATCAGTTGATAATCAGGGAAGGGGAGCCTTTCTAATGGGTTCTAACATATTATGGGAGCAAGAAAATATCAAGCAGCCATGTAAAATTATCCAAGGTGAAAACTGTGAAGAGTCCCACAACGTGCTTTAAGGGATGAGTAGTCTCCTTAGGCTTGGGCAATCCTCACCTCTTGAGCTAGCTTTTGGGGTTGAGGTAGGCCCAAGATTTATTTCTTTAACATGGTACCAGAGCTGCACTCATCTCAATTCTCGTTTCCCCGTGTTGGGCCCTCATATTAAATTCCCACGCTCCATATGTCCATCCCTGGGCATAAGGGGTGTCGGGCGTGAAGAGTCCTACATCGGTGCTTTAAGGGATGGGTGATCTCCTTAGTATGGCTTGAGCAATCCTCACCACTTGAGCTAGCTTTTGGGATTGATTTAGGGCCAAGATCCATTTCTTTAACAAAAAATAATGTTAATGCAGAGAAAGGAATCAGCCTATGGAAGGGGACCTTGGCGCAATGATAAGAGCTGCCTCGGTGTTACCAGGAAGAGGTCAGGGGTTCAAACTGCGGAAACAACCTCTTGTAGAAATGTAAGGTAAGGCTGCGTAAAAAAGACTCAATACGCTCTGGCCCTTCCTCCGACCCCGTGCACAGCTAGCTTAGTGCACCGAGTAGCCCTTTTTTTAAAGTAATCAGCATATGATGAACCCAAAATAGAATATCTACGCATTTGACAAAATGTTCACTTGGAAATGAGACATTTTAAGTGGAAAGAAAAGAAACACCATCAGATCAAATCAATTGTACAGTAGTAGTTCTTTTATCTCTGCGAAAACCAAGGAAAACATAGAAGCAGAGCTAGTTCTTCTGGGGAGAAAGGCTTGTCAAAGTGCACATGCCTGCCGCGAAGTTTCAACTTCTCAAACATGACTACCACAAGGAATCCTCCCAATTGTTTTATCATTTAGGATGGTAAACCTTGCCTCTTCTGGAACTAAAGTGATGGGTTCCTAATTAACGCTACACGAGCCATTCAAACACCAAGTAATAGGAAGTAGCTTAATATCTGTAGCAAAGAGTCTGAGTACTCACATGTTTCACTTTTACATGGAGCAATATCAGATTTGCTATTTTCTTTTTGCATCACTAAAGTGACCCTTTTGGAATCACTAACCAAAATGGTGTATCTTAATGCAACTTCACTCTTTATATAAAAGAGGTGGGGGAAGGGAGACATTCAAACACCAAGTAATAAAGTAGCTTAATATTTGTAGCAGAGAGTCTAAGTCACATGTTTCACTTTTACAAGGAGCAATATCAGATTTGCCACTTTTCCCTTTGCATCACTAAAGTGACACTTTTGGAATCATGAACCAAAAAGGTGTATCCTAATGCAACTTCTCTCTTTATGTAAAAGAGATGGGGGAAGGGAGCACTTCAAACACCTAGTTAATATTTGTAGCAAAGAGTCTGAGTACTCACACATTTCACTTTTACATGGAGCAATATCAGATTTGCCGCTTTTCCTTTTGCATCACTAAAGTGACCCCTTTGGAATCACGAACCAAAAAGGTGTATCCTGATGCAAGTACTCTCTTTATAAGATAGAGGTGGGGGAAGGAAGCCATTCAAAACCAAGTAATAGGAAGTAGCTTAATATTCGTAGAAGTGTCTGAGTACACACATGCTTCACTTTTACATGGAGCAATATCAGATTTGTCACTTTTCCTTTTGCATCACTAAAGTGACCCTTTTGGAATCACGAACCAAAAAGGTGTATCCTGATGCATCTCTTTCAATCTTAAACTGAGAAGTGGTGTGTCAGTTGCGCCAATATGTCTCTGGACAAAGAGAGGTAAACTCAAGACAGAGAGTAGTTAGAGTAGTCATTTATGGACAAAGAGTGGTTCACTCAAGAGATAGAGTAGTTAGAGTAGTCATTTATAGTGGCCGTGGAAGTAAATGAAGTAATTTTTACCGAGAGATAGATGTAGGTCATTTATAGTGGCTATGGAGGCAAATGAAAATAAGAGTTTCTTTCTTAACAATGGTTTCCCATGACTACAAAGTTTGAAGGTCTTCCTCTTTTCTTGCAAATAGTTAGACATACCATCTGTCCTGAGTAACTTTCAGTTTAACAAGCTTAAATTTTACGATATGCATGTCATTAACAAATTACAAGCTAACAGAAATTTGCATGCCAAAATGGCAGTAATGAACTCTTTCTCTCAACTGTTTGCATGAATGCAGAATAATAAGGAATATAGTAGAAAAATAAGCAGAAGGAAGAAAGGAGAAAAGATAAGAGTGCATGTATTAAGATATTATGAAATATTGAAATATATGGAACATAAGTTCAAAACAAAGGAGCAACTTGATACAGTGGCAAATATAGAAGAGAAGCGGCTCCCTGCTATAAATTACCTGCGATCAGGTCCCAATCCTGCCGCAACAGTATCACTTACTGTAAGAATAGCTACCCTAAATTCAGAATCTTCACAACTGCCAGTATTTGCAGCTGCTGGCTTATGTTCTTGTTGGACGCTACTCAAGTCTGGCAATTGCAAACTCCTGCTCCCTGGCGAATTGCTTATATCAGAAATCAAAATTGCAGACACTAAAGCACCAGCAGGTAATGAAGTGTCTGAAGCCGGAAGCTCTAATAAAGCATTGGCTGACTTCATGCTGAGAAGTCGACTGCTAATTTGATGACCTGTACTCTCAGCCATGAACCTGTAAATCATAAAGGGGAAAAAGAAGCATTTGATGCCATCCACTGCAACAGTCTGCTAATAAAGCATGAACGAAGTATTGGACATCTTAATCTTGACCCCTCTTCTCTCCTTCCCCAAAACAAAATATCAACCGATGAATGAATCGCCTGCTCTACTTGGGTTCAAATGAATCTTTTAGGATTTGAACCAAACAACCCCTTAGGATTTTACAGGATAAACAATGAAGAAGCAAAAATGTACAATCTTGTGATCTATGTACAAATAGGTCAAATTTGGAATTATTGAAATAGTGTACATCCAAGACTACAAAGCAAAGTAAAATGAATAGCATTCACATCAAATGATTTTTTATCACTGAAAAAGATCGTATATTAAGCACTTCATAATTTGCAATATGCGATACATCAGACAAAGAATAAACAAGAAGGGAGCTACAATAGGCTAAAAATCCAGGAAAACCAGCATCTATGACACCAGTAAGTGCATTTGGAAAATGATATTTTAAGGGCGGCCCGGTGCACTAAACTCCCGCTATGCGCGGGGTCCGGGGAAGGGCCGGACCACTAGGGTCTGTTGTACGCAGTCTTATCCTGCATTTCTGCAAGAGGTTGTTTCCACGGCTCGAACCCCTGACCTCGTGGTCACATGGCAGCAACTTATCAGTTACGTCAAGGCTCCCCTTCTTGGAAAATGATATTTTGATGAATACATTTGAAAAATGATATGAAACTAACTCTCAAAATTTACTCTTCAAAGATTATAGTTGGATGGAACTGCATGTTCTGAAAGAAAGAGAAACAAAAACAGAAAATAAGACGCTTACCCTTGGGAACCCGACCCATCGTTCAACTGCCAGGAGATAACAGCTCGATGGTATTCTGGACGGAAAGGATCTGTCTTAATTGAATGCTTTACACGAGCTTGCACTCTACAATTATTAGAAACAGATACTGCTTTAGTGAAATCGGACGACTATAAATCAACCAAATGTTGAATAGAAAAAGGATTGAGGAGCACTCTTGGCAACCTTGGAAGATGAGGGTTTGCCCACCCAGAGATGTGTCGAATGGCTGGAACCACAAAGAGATGGAAACAGACCAAACAGCTCACAGGATTTCCAGGTAGCCCAAATGCAAGAATCTTCCCGGAAGTCCCGTTGGATGATCTGGGAATGATCTCAGCAAATGTGATAGGCTTTCCTGGTTTCATGAGAACCTGGATTTGTAAAGAATGCAAATAAAGTAATTATTTCCCTGATTTCATATATACAAGACGTGTGTATATACAAACAAGAAACACTGATGTACATCTGTTTATATACATACAATGTACATAAATATACATACCATATACATAATCAGTGTATATGTTTTGTATATTTGAGCTACAGCCCGTAATTATATTGAGCCACCAGCCAAAAGTGAAAAAAGCCCTAAAGTAATTATTTCCCTGATTCCATAGATACAAGACGTGTGTAGATACAAGAAAGAAACATTAATGCATAGCACAAGCTCCAAGCTCAACCCCATAAGCATACGCAGTGAGCATTACCCTTTGAAAATACAAGTTCCCAAAATCTGTAAACAGAAATTGCCAGCATTACCTTCTGAAAAAATATTCTCCCTTTCTTTTGAAGTAAAGGTTTCACAAAATCCCGGTCTCCCATGGAAACACCTCCAGAGCAGACAAGGATGTCAATTCCAGAAGCAAATGCATTGTTTAGCATCGTCTCAATCTCCTGCTCATCGTCACGAGCTATACCGAGGTCGAGAACTCTGCATTGCTGCTGTGTTGCAGCAGTAAGGATCATTGCACGGTTGGAGTCCCTAATCTGCTTGTGACAAATAGAAATTAAATAAAATCCGCCAGAGGCGAATATCTTTGCAAATAATGTAGTCAATTACAAGTACTATAGTAACCATACAAAGAACAGGAGGGAATTATGTATAAGATACCTGAGTATAACAAGAAAGAAAGGAAGGAAGACAGATTCCTCATATTTAGTTGACGAAATCTCATCAATATACGAAAAATAGAAAAAGGAAATTTATTGAAGAATATCCATGAAAGAAGAGCTGCAAGCTTGCGAAAGAATAACACCCAATCTGACAAGTACCATTAGGTTATGGATGCACAAGTGAATGTTCAATAATTGATATTCCTCAATATTTAGTTGACGAAGTCTCACCATGGTTTTGCTGATTGTAAGAGAACAGGTCCAAAAGATAAAGGTTTTCTAAGAATAATATAAAATTCAAATTGGTTGAAATATTTGTTGATATATCAACAAATGTAATATAATGCAAGAAGAGGTCCTATAGTGTATGCTACTTGTTGACGATATTGTGCTTGTGAAGAAATGGATCTTTGGTCTACCTCTTCACGAGAGGATTGCCCAAGACATATTAGGAGACCACAACCCACTCTCAATCATTGTGGGACTTTAATCCCCCGCACGCCCAAGACTGGACAATTGGAGCATCGATAACATAACACGGAGCCTAACATTGAGAAACCCAACAACAGGGGTAGCTTGAGTCCGGCTACGATACTATGTGAAGAAATAGACATTGGGCCTAACTGAATCTCAAAACCTAGCTCTTGAGGGGAGGATTGTCCAATACCATGTAACGAGATCAAAACACATTCCTTAAATTAATATCGAACTTAACAGTGCTAATTAACGAAACCAGCGAGGGCATCAACCAAAAGCTTGTATTTTGGAGAAGGATTCTAGAGACTAAGGGTTTTAGGATAAGTAGAAGTAAAGCTAAATATATGCACTGCAAGTTTAGTCAGCATAAGAAGAGCGACATTGAGGTGAAACTAAATGGGATTTCGAAGCGTGAATGCAAACAATTTAGATATCTATGCTCAACATTAATAATATTATAGATGAGATGTTTTAGATATTCAGGTTAAGATGCTTCTTTTTGAAGTCACAAACTAAAGCAGACAGAAGTTTTATTATCACGGCAACTGCATCGCCACTGTGAGCATCGGGTAATTTTTCTTTAAAAGGAACGTCATAGTAGCTTCCACAACCTGACCACGGTCTAATCTCCCAACTGTTGGTTCTACAAGCTCATCCCCTGTTGATAAGACGGCAACTTTTGGACTAGGGTAAACCTGTATATCAGCAATCCGAAATGCAACATAAGAAATAGGCAGCCATTATGAGTTATAGCATTGGAAGTAACTGCAAGGAAATAAAACAAATACCTTCACTGTGACAACACCTACTGTGGCAAGTAGACCAATTTCCGCAGCACCTAATCGCTCCCCAGATCTCATTATGATAGTACCCTGTGCAATGTCAGATCCCTGGAAAAGATAATTTTAAAGCAGTTAAAAAGGACCAACTGAGCACTCACAGTGGTAGTCAAAATGAGTTAAGTAATTACAAGCAATTGTTCCATTTTCAAGTCCTATAGCCTCCTTTCCAAAAAGAACAGCCCAACAAAAAAGTTCAAGTAGCTATAAGGAGAAGATTTTCTCAAATATGCTTTTACCCAAAAAAAAGTCGTAAATATGCAGTATTCCAAAAGAAATACTCCCTGCATCCCAATTTATGTGGCACCGTTTGATTTGGCAGGAAGTTTAAGAAAGAATGGGAAACTTTTGAAATTTGTGGTCTAGAATAAGTCTTCTACATCTGTGTGGCCATAAATCATCTTACTAAGGGTAAAATGAAAATTTTGAAGTTAAATTGTTTCTAAATATAGAAAGGTGACATTCTTTTTGGGACAGACTAAAAAAGGAAAGAGTGTCACATAAATTGGAACGGAGGGAATACATACTTTATGGCTCTCCGGGGGCAAAAGAATTTTATGAAGATGCATTAAAACTGACTTGACTCAAAATTAGTGGGTTGTCATATTCGAGCAAAAGATAACAAGTTAACACGCACTACTATGCTGTAAGCTATCAATAGTTCTGACAACTGACCATTAAGCTCACTTCTCCGTCATATAGACCAACCCTAGGGTTGCACAAATTGCCAATAGCCGCACCAATCAGCAGTAGTGCAGAAACAAACTTCAGTCAGCTTAATGTATCAGTAGGTCTGAGGGTGAAGCTCATTGCCAAACATTTTATGTACTAGAGGCTCTAGTTAATACAGTAATCACTTCAAAATATGAAAACACTTATTAAAATCCGTGGATCAATATTCCGAGATATTCATGCCAATATCTAGATTTCTATTGCTCAACCATGCCAGAAATCGGAATGCAATCTGCCTCTTCACTCATTCTCTCCAGAATGAGGTCAAACACAGACATGCATATATGTAAAATCGTTTTTAGATTACATGGTAAATACATTGTTTATTTAATCTCCACTAATTGGTATGTTTGTTCTAAGAAATAAAGCAGTTGTCTTCTACATGTTTTTCCGGAAAACAAATGTTTTGCTTTTCAGAAAATGAAACACAATTAGGAAGTCGTTTCCAAAAGCAACCCTTCCAGCCTACAAGCAACCAATTTTTCCAAAACCATAAATGCAGAAGACATACCTAAGATACAGCATCAAGTTCTTACCACTGCACGAATATCAACCCCAGGGCTAGTTTGCTTCAATATTCGCACTCGCTTCAGTTCAGATGAAGCAGCTGAAATTGATTCAGTGTCCTCTACTTGCACAACCGCATCAGCGCCATCAGGCACTGGACCTGGATAAGTGGACAACGTGGAGAAATCAATAGACACACAAAACAGTACTAGTTGGATGACCATTTGTCGAAAAGTAATAGAGCTGCCTAGCTTCTAAACCCATTAAAGTAGCAATTACTGGACCAGATTGCTCATTATCTTTGATGAAAAGATTGCAATACATGGATTAATAATTCATTTATTATGTAGTGCACATGCATTTCTTGGTGGATGTTTGGTTCCTACTATCACAAATGGGATACATGGTGCATAATCTAAAACATGGGTTTGCTTTAAAATTGGATAAAGTCTTGTTTTCAATTATAACGTTGGAAATGCCCGAATGTATAAAGAAATGGCTTTGGAAGAGGGGCAATTTTGTCATTTGAATAAATTATCCATGTTGGAGGTTTGAAAACAAACCTTGGAGTCTAAAGGTTTCAAGTTGAACAGGACTAAAACTTAATAAGTTCAACTATGTGACTCATGAAGCGAACGGGGAAGTGAGCTTGATACACAAGTCATTCCCAAGAGGGGTTAGGAACACTGTGCTGGGAGATTTAGAGCACTCCAAGAGTCGTCGAAATTTTGGGTATTGCAAGCGTATAAAGGTTGAAGAGGCTGTGGGGCTATGCGTAAGATGGGTAGGGAAAAGCAATCGGGCCAGACGAGATCCCTGTGAAATTTTGGAAGAACGCTGAGTGGCTTACTAGGTTGTTTAATGTCATTTTCAAGACGACGAAGATGCCAAAAGAATGGAGGTGGAGTACGATGATTCCATTGTACGAGAATAAGGGTGATATCCAAAATTGCAACAACTATAGGAGTATCAAGCTGTTAAGCCACACCATGAAAGTTTGGGAGAGGGTAGTGGAAGTAAGAGTAAGGAGAAGTGTGTCCATTTCTGAGAACCAGTTCGGATTCATGCCGAGGCGATCAACTACTGAAGCCATTCACCTTGTAATGAGGTTGGTGGAGCAGTATAGAGAGAGAAAGAGGGACTTGCATATGGTGTTCATTGACTTATAAAAAGCTTATAACAAAGTCCCGAACGAGGTTCTATGGCGATGTCTGGAGGCTAGTGGTATGCTTGTAACATACATTAGAGCGATTAAGGATATGTATCATGGCGCTAAACCTGGGTTAGGATTGTGGGAGGAGATTCGAAGCACTTCTCGGTTGTGAGGGGGTTGCATTAAGGATCAACTCTTAGTCATTTTTTCTTTGCCTTGGCGATGGATGTACTGAGACGCCACATTCAAGCAGTGTTGTTGATACGATCCTAGATAGCCCGAGAAGAGTGGAGACTATTGAAGATGACCCCGAATTATCTAGTGGACCGTTGACTCGCTCCAAGTCCAAGAACACCTGAGGGATGCACGCTTAGAAGTTGCATGATCTTCAACAATTGACTAGAAGATGTTTGAAGAGCCACTTAGAGAATTCATGCAGAGAATATCATAATTGGAGTCTTGAGAATTGAAGAATCAAGACCCCAAGTCAAACCGTGTGACGGGGTTTCACCAACCATTGGCTACGGGCCTACGGTTCAAGAGGGGCCCGACTTTCACCGAGGATATCATGTTATAGGACTTCAAATTTTCATGACTAGTAACAGTAGAGCTTTTCTAGAAAACCCTAAGGCCAATTTGACCTACCTTAACTTGATCCTTAGAGATTCAATAAATTGAAGTTTAGTTTAAGACATCTAACAAGTGGTCGCACCAACGTCTACCACCAGCACAACATCTGATACAGATAGATGTCACACATCAATTTTTTCCTATAACGATATCTTCTTTTCTTGTTTTTAGATATAATTCAAAATATCTACCAAGATTAACAAGAGAAAATATATCGTCTAGGCATAAAGGTAAAGATTTTAACAATATTGATGGAACCACAATATCTGAACAAACAGACCTCCAGTAGTTACATATGCAACAGTTCCAGGGGCAATCGTCACACCAACTCCATCATTTCCTGCTCTTGATTCAGCAATTACAGAATATTCACCAGGTCCATCAGCGGCAATAACGGCATACCCGTCCTGCAACAGGTCCACCCGAAAAGAAAAGTTAACCATACCCTTCAAAGAGACAACAATAGATATGAAATCTTTATCAATAAGCACTACGAGTCTTCTATTTGTCCTTTCGCCATCTCCCATTTTGATTTCATCTTCCGATCTGCTATAGTTTCTACCTCGTATCCTCTCTTATCTCAAATTTTTCATGTCCATTTGGTTTGGACAGCGGTAGCCGAAAATCCCGCAGATTGGAACTCGTATACCGTCATTCAAACAGTGGCCTATTAACCATCAGGTTGTCCTTACAGGGACCACTTTTCTTCCTTCACTGCCTACCCCTTCC